AAATTGTTTTGTTTAATATATTAAATTACCTCCAATTATATACACTACGCTTAATTGTTACTCTCAAAACATACAAGGTATGTATTAGAGTGACATCACCTGCTTGATTTCTCAAATTAAAAATAATGTAAGAATTTGTCGTCATCTTGACGAAGTATTTTTGCTTTTACCCTAATAGTTGCTGGAGGATTATAAAATTATATATAACTAAATGTACATAATTTATCCCGGAYATTAATTGATTGGGCAGTTCCAACGTATTTGGGGGTTGTTTTTTACTCTCCATATTTTCATYCAGGCAATGAGGCTAAAATTGAAAATTTTAATGTTTTTATAGTGAAATAATATAACCTATGCAGTAGGTTAGGTTAGGTGCACTTACGATCGCTCGTCGTAGTATAGGTACTGAGTACAAYKTAATTGTGTTTTCACTGGACGCGACTGACTTGCTAGTATTCAAATTCGGCTTTACGCTTTGCGTTTAAACTTTCATTACAGGACAAGACTGGAGCATATATTATAGATTATCGATGCTGTGCCGTTCAGAGTCCATGAGAGGTTTCTAAACCATGAGACTCAAATTTTGAACGTTCCCGTCTTGATAATTAGCTCTCCGTGCTAGGTATCGTCTCCTMCATGCATTATCACAAATGCTCATCACCTCCTACGACTTATGAATTTTGACCGATGATTACAGCCATGACTTCAATARTTCGAAATTCGAACGACTCTGTCTCCACGTTCGGTATGCACTTTTCGCTAACACAGAGGGGTCTGGGGGTGTTCCCCAGCTAGMACGGAKGGCTATTACCTACATAAAATGCTTGCACAAATATTTGTTATCTAATATAGGTACTAACTATCAATCTATMATGTTTTTTGATCCTAAATTTAGWACAGTGGTRCACAAGAAAATTCCATATTTACGAACATCCTCCACGGTCATAATAATATATATTACGTAATGAGATTGTTGCCAKTCTTTTGGATGACATCGTAGGTACCATCGTTCGTTTATAGTGCATATTATTGTATATTTTCTAGGTTATTTTTTAATTTTAAGCGCATATTTCTTAATTTTACAATTTAATACCATAACAAC